TGTTCTGGGCTCTGATGATGTGTTATGTCTTCATTTGGGGATAAAAAAGGGATGTTGACATTTTTCAGAAAATTTGCTTTAAATGTCAATATTTTTGTCCTCCCAGTTCCTTTGCCCTGCTCCATATGTACCTTCAGCTCCAAGTTTGGGTCATTTCCCATGTAAACCAGCAGGCAGTGGAGAGCAGCCAGGCGCTGATGATCAGCCTTACTGCCAGGACACCTTGGACAGAGGTGACACACCACAAATTTACCTTTATACAATATAAGCTTTTCTAAACACAGAGACCTAGAGGCAGATGCGCAGGCAGACAAACAGCAACCAAGTGAAATAACATTCTCAAAAAATAACTTTCCACCTGTCTGCATGCTGCCTAACTAGTGTAGACTCTTCTAGGCTCTTAAGTGCCTCCTCCTAAATAATAGCACCAAATATATATGCGGTATATAGGTTCATTATTTCCAGAAAAGGTTCTGAATCAAACCCACCTAGAAGGAGTGTCTGATTGCAGTATCTGTAGCAGGTAGGCAGGGCTAAGCTCAGCAATGTGGATCTTCCCACTGGCCAGGTCCAACAGACTACTATTAGACTCTTCCTCTGCATGCAACACTGTAATGTTAGCTGACTGACACTGCAGACCCACGTTCACATCATGGCCTTAAAGATGTCGAGATAAGAAAGGCAAACATACAAAATTTGGATAAATGTGAGGACTTGTTCTCATTCTGAGAACAAAAAGCAGTGACAGTTCTAACATTTTACAGGCTGAGAAAACAGGTGAACAAACTGTAACACAGCCATCAATCATCTTAGACCTGATATATCCAAAAAAAAAAATTCATCTTACCAGAGAGGAAGAGGGAGTGACAGAGCATCTCCTGCTGCCTGGTGTTGACACAGTGGAGGAAATAATCTTGCAGATACACCAGAATGTAATAACCTACATACAAAAATAACAGCATCACTGTCAGGGCGTATGTTATATTAGTATGCTGTATGGATACCTGAGATTTATTAGGCTGCATGACAATACATACACTCATTTCTGTCTGTGTTTCTGTAGGTAATGCATGTTTGACTTACAAAACCACACACTTGGGTGAATGTGTCAGGATTCTGATGTGTGTATATGACTGCATTACATTTCTGTGTGTGCGGTGACCTATAGGGATGAAGAGTGGATGGAGCTGTGAGGTCTTCTGCTGCGACTGGTCGCTGCCCAGAGACACTCTGAATTTCTTGCTGCAGGCTGCAAAAAGTAACGAAATCCAAACTTGTCACCATGTGCTCAAGATAAAAACAGTAACACAGTAAAAGAGACAACAACAGTAAGAAATTAAGTTTTGTACACTTTTTGTTTAGATAGCACACACACACACACCTTTATGAACTAAAACCACATTGTAGATCAGTTCTGGTTTGTCTTTCAGAGGTTGGCTGTAGCACACACACATGCTCCCTAAAAGCAAACCACAAGGCAGAGCAGTTATGGATGTGTCATTAATAAAAGATCATATACACTTCCCATGGCAATATTCATGATAAACAATGCAAAATTAAATTGGTGTTTATGTTTTGATCCTCATTTTATTTTCCAAAGTTAAACTTTTTAAATGTGCAAGAGGACAAGAATTGTAGAGCTTTGGTTTTTGATTGAGAAATCACAAATTCAGTAAAGCACTGTACATGTATATTTCATTTGTGTAAAAAAGTTCCTGATGAGCATTTCATTTTGTAATAAACCAACAATCATTAAATCATCACTGAGATGTGAATCACAAAATGCCCGCAGCCTTTATTCTTTAATCCCCAGTGGAGGATGTCTAATTAGGTGTTGAATTGCATTATATTGCATTATTGTGCACTAAAAATTATAACTTGCTATATGGACTTTCTTCTTTTTAAAAAGACAAATGAAAAATACACAAGCATATTAGTTTTAATTGGCCATGTAACTGAAATACCACTTTGTTTATGTCTGTTAGGAGTAAGAGAATGCATGTGAGAAACACATGATTCCTGCAAGAATTTCTGTGTAGGAATGTGTGTCACACTATGTGTGCAGTACCATATGTCTTACAGTACCTATTCTGTTTGTGAACACTTCCATCCGGACGAGCTCCTGCTCTGGTCTCTCAGTGTGATAATAGTCAAAACCCAGGTTTACAAACCTGTTGGCCACACACACAATAATCCAAAATAAGAACATTTAAGTGAGAGATATACATACAGGAATTCATTTTAGTCTCTTTGATTGCAGGATTTTTCTCAATAACATTCAAACGAAGACAAAACACAGCATGAAAAGCCCACTTGGAAAACATATTTCTGTCTTTATAATGTAGCAGGAGGTGCAGTCTTACTTGACTGTGTAGAAAGGGTTAGCAGGCAACTCTAATGAGAGCTCAAACTGTAAGACAGTAACATAACGCAAGAGAATTTTTATGTGATTGTCACGTGAAAGCACAAATATTAAAATTAGAAGACAGAGATGACCCACCACAGTGTCGTAGTTATGGTTTGGGTAAAACTGAACACATCGCAGCAGAAATTTGTCCTGTGAAGACATATAATGCCTCTTCGTATGAGTCAATTTAAGTCAATTCAATGTCCTCCGAAGTGTAGTTGTTCAGATCAGTGTGTTTGTACGTGTCTTACCTTGTGTGTTAAATAGTAGAGCCTCTGTGTGTCTCTGTCCCACTGGACCCAGCTGAAATCCTCCACTATTCTCTCTGCTGTTCTGGGCAAACGCTCAGGATGCGCCATCACCTGGTTCACACATTCATATGCGGCTTTGTAGACACAATGAATTCTTAATGCAAAGCTCCCCAGGTGGATATAAAATGCAGTATACAGTAGCTTGACAGTGAGGTTGAAACAACATTCTTTTCACTGGGTAATGTAAATACATTCCAACTGTTTTACTTATTAATTCCTAGTTACAGACAGGTGACAAATTAAAGGAAAAACCTGAATAAACGAGTAGTCCCTTCCCGGATGATAGTGCCTCCATCTATAGTCAACTGCATCAGGCTCGTGTCGGGTTCAGACAATATATACTAAAAGATTGTTGGGCCCAAGTTGTTATGGTTTAGTCCCCCTCACCAGGAGGGTGAGGGACAACTGAGGTTGGACTCAAGATTGCTGACTCAGGTGCTAGTAAAAAAGGTGGTTTAATAGTGGGAATCACAAAAAGGAACAGAGTCAATGAACACATACAACCAGGGCTGGGCAAAGACAGCTAAGGACACCAGGACGACCATGGGAGTAGAGAGGCTAACGGCAAAAACCAGGAGAGTGGGAGGAACAGGACGAACAGGTGAATAGACAAACTACCCGGGAGGATTGGCGAACGAAAAAGGAAATCCACAGCACAGGAACTGTGGACGTCTGGAGACGTGTAACACAAAAAACATGTAACCAACGTACAAAATGAGATCCACAGCACAGGATGTGTCAGCGTGGAAAACAAAATGACGTCCAATACATACCACAAATAGGGCAGCATGGTGGCGCAGTGGTTAGCACCGTTGCCTCACAGCGCGAGGGTTCTGGGTTCGGGCCCCACCCGGGACCTTTCTGTGTGGAGTTTGCATGTTCTCCCCGTGCTTGCGTGGGTTCTCTCCGGGTACTCCGGCTTCCTCCCACAGTCCAAAGACATGCAGCTAAGGTTGATTGGTGTCTCTAAATTGCCCATAGGAGTGCGTGTGTGTGGTTGTTCGTCTCTGTGTTAGCCCTGCGATGGATTGGTGACCTGTCCAGGGTGTACCCCGCCTTCACCCAATTGCCCACTCTACTCTACTCTACTATTACTGAATGCAACACAACTGAGGTGCAGATCCCGCAGGTCGAAAGAGCAGGGGAGAGAAAGGCAGAAGAGAGGCAGGTCACACCGAGCGGACCTGACACAAGTTGGGTTTGGATGCCACATTCTTGCCACAGGTTGGGACTGAACAGAAACATGTGGTCTGATCTAAGTTCTAGACAGACCTCTCCACCTGCAAGTGGTGACCTAACACCTCACTAAGACACTCTATGTTTGTTTTGCCTTTAATTTGTCACCTGTCTTTATGTGTGCTCAAGAATTTATACCTTTAAAAAAACACACAAATCCACTGCAAAGAAAATTCCTCCATGCATGTTACAGTTGAGCTGAGGTACAGTGGGGCAAATAAGTATTTGATACACTGCTGATTTTTCAAGTTTTCCCACTTACAGAGAATGGACAGTTCTGTAATTTTCATCATAGG